CTCTACATCACTTGCTGTGATCAAAGCCTCGCTGATGTTGAAACTCGTGCCGCGAATACAGCGACCTGGACATTCTGACGCCTATTATGGATTCTAATCAGTTACCAACAGCTCTTGTTACCTACGATCCTGCTGCTGTTGTAACTCGAAATCAACACCTAGCAGATGCAGAAACCTTCGTAATGAATAGGTGACCTTTCCCATCTAAGGCCCCTTATTGATCTCACCAGCTCTAACAGTTATTGTCACACACCACTAATGTTACCGTCCCACGCCTATGTTACCCTATATGTATCATATCTTGGCTAACGTTCCACTGTTTCTGTGGCTGCACTATGGACATTTTGACCCCTCCTTTCTGACACCCTTACCAGATCTCATGGACCGATCATTTCCTGTCATCCACCAATAATGTTTCCGTAACAGCTCCTATATTACTGCCGATAGCGCTGAGGTGTTGCACATTAGAGTTCCTATAGTGAACACTGGTGGCAAGGTTAGCGAAACACTGCTATCGTTTGTGCCTAGTGCCTAGCTGTGGAGCGCGCACTTTTTCCGAAGACATTCATTTGATGTGGACTGTACTTTGCAGCTTCACCAGACGCTAAGACTTTGTGACGGCAGCGCGCGGTCGCCCGCTCAATGTGATCGATCGCGCAAGCCCACGATTAAGTTGATTGCGCAATCGTTCGACTGCCTTCGCTCTTTTCGATCGAATCGGACACAGCTTTCACACTGGGCAGCTGATAAACTAGGTCACACTAGGTACCGCTGCAAGCCGTCCCTTTCCTGAAATTTGATTTCTCTTCATCATTTTTGCCTTTTCAGGCAGGTCGGGCGGAGCCGCCATCTGTTTCAGACAGAAGCAGGTGGCTCCGCCCACCTTCAGAAACCCTCACTTCACAGAAGCCTCGCCCATTTCAAAAAACGATGCAGATTTGTAGGATGTAGGATGGAGTCCGCTCCTGCAGGTTATGGTCACAGAAACTTTCCCTGGTTTTTCGTTGTACCTTGTTCTCCGGAGGATCTTGTTGGAATTTAAGAAGGAACTCACCACTTCAAGAGAATCGACGATTAACACATTGCGTTCCGTCTCGTCAGGAAGACGTACGCGCCTGCGTTCCGCTTTCACGGTTTCCTCCTCTTGTTGTTCAACGCTCAGAGGTGGTGGCTTCCGCAGTTTCCTTGAAAACTTCAAATAGAGAATGCCTCGCAATATTCAACCTCCTGACTCCTTCTTATAGACAGTATAACCGAAAATTGCGGCGTGAGAGTACCAGAGCTTGAAGAAAGGTGATTGAAGAGGGTAGCGAGTAATAGTAAATAAATGATTTTATGTCAAATGTGCAAAACGATAAGTGGTTTCAAAATTATACAGAGTAAGGTGGGAAATCCTTCTTCGATTACGTGTTGGCCACCCAAGCGAATTTCTTGAGGTCTTGGAAAAAATTAGTTTTACACTTGATTCAATCTAGCTTGGCTCGTTTGTGTGAGTGTAACGTTTTATCCACTGAGAAAGGCAGCGCTCAAGTCGTTTGTTTCTTGATTTCAGGCGTCCGACTGATGCCGTTTGCACGCACTGACTTTCGGCTGCGATCTCATTTTTCAAGTGCGTAGGGCACCAAATCAGCTGAAAACTCGCATATAGGAGTAATCTAACATGCTAATTACGAATACAACATTCATTCTAGGTGATGGTGCCAATGGAGAAGACTGACTGTCTGCGCTCTGCTGAGCCTGATCCCAGAAGATAATCTATCGTCCCATAGCGCCAGCGCCGAGGATAAATGTCATATCCGCAGACAGGGATTACCCCTATATACAAGTTTTAAGCGCAGGTGCATTCTATAATAGGCGGCCTTGCACCATGGCGATCCACTCGCTTTGCTGCGGACGTGGAATGATGAGTCCAAAACTGGTCTCATTTGTGGGACTTCACGTACATGTACTCACGGAGACAATGCTTACGAAAAAATACGGGTTAATGATTCGTGCTCAAGGAAACGAACATCTTTCGAAGCACCTACTATTTATCGCTATAAGTCTAGAGTAACGAAGAAGACAAGCAGCATCACATATAGCACCTGACTCTTTGACAGTCGCTCGTGTTTCAA